TTTTTGGGAGGGCTGTTTTTTCTGGCCTCATCTGGCCTTCATCTCTGGCTTATTTCTTTATTCCCATTTGGAGGTTTTGTGCCCTGGAATATTCTAAAATTCCTTATTGGCCTTGCAGACTTTGTACTTCCTCTATTTGAAATGGTCTTACCTTGGAATTTTGTGTGACTCTTCTGTAGTAGATTATCAGTCATGTGCTTTTAATGTGAACCTGATAGTCTCAAGACTTTTTAGAGATGATTTGAATTCATTGCCTTTGACTTAACTTTCACTGTATATTTTGATTTCAGATTGTGATAATAGAGGCTCTGGTTTCTTTCTGAAACAAAGTAACCAACCCATTTGCCTACAAGTTGACTGGCAACTCATAGTGACCCCATGTGTGTCAGAGAAGGGTGCTGCAGATGGCTCTCTGACTCTGATTTTTCGGAGGTCAGTTGCCTGCCTTTTAGATGCTACACAGGGACTCCTTTTTTAAGAACACCCAAAACCAAGCCTATTTCTGTCAAATGGATTCTGACTCTCAGCAGCCCCATGGGACAAAGTGGAACTGCCTCTTGATGTTTCCAGGGCTGCAGTGACCTAGCTGTAAGTCTTTTCTCCTTTGGAGCAGCTGGTGGTGTGTTCATATCAGCCACCTTTCATTTGGCAGCTGAGTGCTTAGCCATTGCTCCACCAGGGCTCCTCCTTCCCGGGAAGGAGAAGGCAAATCAGCAGTTAAGTGTTGCTCTAGCCGTTCAGATCCACTACTGGCTCCTAGTGGAGAAAGGGGAAAGGGGAGCGTTCCTCTCCCATGCAGTTTACCACATCAGAAACTCAGTGGAGACTCAGCTGCAAGTTCATTCCGATTCACTGGCAATATCATATCATAGATATGTGATAAAGGAGCACTCTGGTGGCATAATGTTGTCCTGCCAACCCAAAGACTGCACCTCTGGCGATTTGAATCCACCAGCAGCTCTGGGGGAGAAAGAGGACCTTTCCATTCTCATTGCAAAATGCAGCCTCAGGGGACCTCTTGTGGCCTAGTGGCAAGAAGCTGCAACTACAATCCCAGAGGTGCATGGTTCGAATCCACCAGATGCTCTGCCGGGGAAGGAGGGGCAATCTCCTCCTGTACCAGTCAGATCTGATTTGACGGTACACGCACACAAAAATAATAAAATTAAAAAAAATATTTAAAAAAAAAAGCAGCCTCAGGAATCTGATGGAGAGTCTGTTGGAACCAGCTTCACGGCAGTAAGTTTGAGAGTTTTATAAAAAAGATGTAATAGGGCAGGAGCCCTGGTGATGGGGTTACAGTATGTTCCCATAAAGATGACAGCTTAGGAAACCCTCTGGGACAGTTCTCTTGTCACATGGGAGCGCTGTGAGGTAAAATGAGGTAAACAGTCAAGAACAACATATGCCAGGTGCCTTTTGGGGGGCCGTAGAAATCTAGCTTAGGTCTCAGGACTCTTGTGTGATTAAGGATTAAAAAGACAAATACAGTATTTAATATTGATACCTCCTGAATAAAAATATTCTAGCTGGGTCTGTGGAGCCAGGCAGGAATATAGGGCTCAAGGAGGGGCCACATGGCTTTGTGATTTATCGCTAGAGGTGTGTCTGCAGCAGTTTCTGGAAGACCTCAGAGGTGGGTATATACTTGTGTCTGCTGTGACACAGAAAGGACTTTTCAAGGAAATTTGAATTGGATTTTCAAATGTGATGTGACTAGGTTCTGAGAGCCAGAGGGCACATGTGATACACGTGAAAGTGAAAAACTGGGGGGAGCTCTGGTGGCCTAGTGGCAAGGAGCTGCAACTACAATCCCAGAGGTGCATGGTTCAGATCCACCAGATGCTCTGCTGGGGAAGGAGGGACAATCTCCTCCTGTACCAGTCAGATCTGATTTGACGATACACTCACACACAAAAATAATAATAATAATTAAAAAAAAAGAAAGTGAAAAACTAAAGGACATATTTGCCTCCTCTGTCTACTTCAGAGAACTGATGGATTCGAACCACCAACCTTTTGACTGTCAACACAATACTTCATTCACTGTGCCAGCAGAAACTGCTTTCTAGAACAAGATTTGAGAACAAGGTAGTGTGTTTGAGGTTTAGTGATAGTGATGGATATTTGAAGACAGATTCCTAGAGAGGAGCTGGACCGTGCTATGTTTGTCAGTGAGCTGCCAAACACGAAAAGAATCAGTCATGCAAATTGAACCTGGCCTTGGCAACCTGGAATTCCAAATCCCGCGTCTGACAGTGTCTGGGCCCATGTGAGGGGAAGGCTTTTATTAGACTTAACAGTGACAGCAGCCACTGGGAGGATACAGCCTTTCTGGTGGCAAACCTTCCTGATAACTACACTGTCATCGAAATGTAGCTTATTAAATGTAAGTGCTGTTGTCTAGGCATGGGACGTCCTGGGAAGTTGGATAGCTTCCACCCACCGGGATGGTGCTGGACTTCAGTCTGTGCCAGGAGACCTGCTCATCGCTAGCATCTGTTACTTACTTCCATTGTGTGGTGTTGCCCTCTTGGCAATTGCCTCCTACTCTTATAATGGTTTCCCACCATGTGGTGTTTTCTGTGATGCTCTTTGGGGACCCCTGTGACTGCCTCATAGGATTTCATACACTGTGACATCTTGGGAGCATATTGCCAAGTGTGTGTTCCAAACCCCACCAGGGTGGATTTGCAGTAGTGACCTTCCGAGCGCTGACTGCTCTTACAAAATGGAGTGAGACCTGTGGCTTTCATAGAAATACTGTCAGTATCTTCCCTTACTCCTGCTGTTTCAGTTTTTGATAGTAGTACTTACGACATTTTTTAATTGCTACTCAGCCTTTTGGCTAAGATTAAGTGTAGTAGGAAATTAAGTTCCCATTGTTAAAACTGTTTGGATAGCTGGAGATGATCATCAGGTAGTAAAATCACTGGGCAACAGAACTTGAACCATTTATGAATATAAATATATTATGAACAATTTTGAGTATGAATAATATACTTGCTGTAGAAATATTAAGTGGATTTCTTTTTTGTGATTTTAATGAAAATTTACAGAAAAGTTGTATTTTCATTCATTTATTGATTGTTGAACATTTTCCTCTGTACCCCCAGTTCACTTTTTTATTTTATTTTATTATTTGTGTGTGTGTCTGTACTGTCAAATCAGATCCGACAGGTACAGGAGGAGATTGCCCCTCCTTTTCCGGCAGAGCATCTGGTGGATTCGAACCTCACATCTCTGGGATTGCAGTACAGCGTCTTGACACTAGGCCACCAGAGCTCCCCTCCCAGTTCACTTTTTTTAAAAAAAAATTTTTTTTTTCAGTTCACTTTAAAAAATAATCATTCATTATTTACAATTGCCTTCCCTGCAGCAAGTGGCTTTCAGTGCAGTTCAGGAACCCTTTGACTTCTTCATATAAGTTGTAAATGTCACATTTTTTTTTCTATAATTATATTTTATTAATTTTCATAAACATTTACAGAGATTTTGGGCTTCCACTCATTCATTGTTGCACTATTCTCTCTACCCTCCTCCCAGTTTGTTCTTGTCCAAATGCCACAGTGCTTGTCAAAGCCAGTTCTGATTAATCTTCTTTGTCAGTGTATCCTTTGCCATTCCCTATCACTCCTCCCTGAGAGAGACTTCACCCTGAGTCATAAGGAAAAGGGGATGGCGTATTCTCTTAGCTACTTCCTGCTGAAAAGGGACGCTGTGGGTTTCAGGGTGAAGATCTTCTCTCACTACTCTAAAGGGCCCCTTTGGCAGTAGGAAACACATAGACTATTATGGAGATTGATTTTGGAATTCAGATGCACTCTTATTGATTGTGCTTGGCCATACATGTTCATATCCTTGAAGATGTATCATGGGGGTGTTGCAACCTAGAAGACACAAATTTGACTAACAAGTTATAAGTACATGAGTCCAAAAATTATGGAAAAGTAAAAGAAAAGATTCTTTGATTGTTTTACAAACCCTCCCCCAGGTCCCCTCCACCATGTAGCCCTCGCTCTAGACTCCTGTGATGTCAGAAATACCCAGTTATATCTCTCTTTTAAACGGTTCTCTCCCTCCTCTGTTTCAGTGCAGTATAAAATGTCACATTTTTAAACTCTGAAAAATTCTGAGACTTCATGGAATTTTTGATGAGATAATGTGAAACTATACTGTGTCTTTGACCTCAGAGTTAAGTTCAGACATTGGGAAGAGCCCAACCCCTGTCTCTCCTTTTGTAGCCTCAAGCATTTCCTGTATGCAGCCTCTTTAAAACTGCTGTGTGTTAAAGACCAGAGTTTCCCACTCCACCTGCTCTGCTATTGTGCTTCTCCTTTATCACCTTCATCTGATGCTTGCTGCTCCTCCCACTCTCCAAGGCCCTTTACAGTGGCCTCTGTAAGAAAGGTCACTATTTCCTGCCTGTGGATTTGATTCCTGTCATTCTTTGTTTACTGTTCTTTAGAACATACTAGTCATTCTCCCTCTTCTGGGATTTTGCACTTGCTGTGTTCTCTACCTGGCTTCTCCCAAAATATCCCTATGTCCCTACTTCATTACATTCTTGCTCAGATCTCACATCCTCCCGAAAGGCCCTCAAGATTACTCTGTCAAAAATAGCTTCTTCACTCATCCTCAGTCCTACTCTGCTTGGTTTTTTGGTGCCTCTTAACAAATTGCATATCTTTTCATTTGTTTATCTGACTCCCTTTCTTTTTGTTAACTCTTGGGAGGTCAGGGACAGTCTGGCTAGTTGACATTTTATTTCCATACTTAGAAGGAGTTGACATTTTATTTCCATAGTTAGAAGGACACCTGACACAGTGCACAGTGAATACTTGTTGAATGGATTGTGCATGAAGGGTTGAAGTGACCTTTTTCATAGGTTCATAGAGGCTGTGATGCCTTTAGTGAAAGTCAGAACTATTTTCCTGTTAGCTTGCTTGGTTTTTGTTCTTTGATTATTTGTCTTGAGGTAAACAATGTCTCTCTTACAGATTGCGGGCTTCCCGGGTGCTCCTTGTCGGCATGAAAGGACTAGGGGCTGAAATTGCTAAGAACCTCATCCTGGCAGGGGTGAAAGGCCTGACTATGCTGGACCATGACCAGGTGAGCTGCCGTACTCTCCCTGCTCAGTCTGTCTCTCTCTTCAGAGCAGTGGAAGGTGCCAGGAATCTCATGTATCCCTGCAGGGCTGTGGAAAGCACACTGGGATTAATGCATGTGTGCAAAGCCTTTAAGACTGACTGGGGGTGCTGGATATGAATTTTTGCTCTCCCACAGCCTGCCCGGGGTATTGGTGGTTGAGTTAGCTAGTATCACAGAGTAGTAACATTTCCTTTGAAGGATGGCGATGACATTTAGACACGTACTTTTCCAGTTTGCTTCTCAAGACTCTCCTGAATAGTTCATTGAAAATGTAGCACTATCCCTGGGGGCCTCATCATGGGATAGCCTTCATTTTCAGGGGATTTTATTTAGAGAGTCTGCGATGGGGCTCAGGAAGATTTCACACGGGAGATTTTATTGTAGCTAGTTCTCAGACATTACTTTGAAGAACTTAATGTTGGAGAACCTATATGTAGACTACTTGTTGTTTTAGTTAGGTGCTGTTTGATTACAACTCATAGATAGCACCCTTATGAACCGCAGATCTGAACCTTCCCCTGTCCTACACTGTCCTCATAGTCTACCTGGCATAAACCAAGGCCACAGCCATCGGGTTGATTCTAACATCTAACCCTGTGCTTTTTTTTTTTTTTATAAATTCTTTTAAATTTTATTTCATTATTTTTTGTGTGTACCGTCAAATCAGATCTGACTGGTACAGGAGGAGATCACCCCTCCTTCTCCAGCAGAGCATCTGGTGGATTCGAACTGTGTACCTGTGAGATTGCAGTGCAGCTTCTTGCCACTAGGCCACCAGAGCTCGCCTAACCCTGTGCTTTTTTAAAAAAACTTTTTTACTTTCTTTTTTAAAATTTGTTATTTTTATTATTTTGTGTGGTTTTACCATCAAATAGGATCTGACTTGTCCAGGAGGAAATTGCCCCTCCTACTCCAGAGGAGCATCTGGTAGACTCGAACCTTGTGCTTCTGGGATTGCAGTGCAGCTTCCCTCCACTAGGCCACCAGAGCTCCAAACCCTGTGCTTTTAATAGGCTATCAATGATTAATTGTAATTTTGTGACATAATGCAATTTGATTGATAATGTCATAGTAGTACCCAATTCCAATATAGCTTGGTGCTTTGGTGGTTAAGTGGAGCTGGTAATGTGAAAAGCTCAGTAGTTGGAACGTACCAGCTGTTGTACAGTAGAGAAATGTGGTAGCCTGCTTACATAAAGATTCCCGGCAATGGAAACCCTGTGGGCAGTTCTCTGGACGGCAGTGGCTTTGGCTAGGAATATTTTAGTTTCCTTTTATAGAGACTTTTAAGTATATACAAATTAAATATTTGTTACTCTATCGACTTGGCTGCATTTTTTAGGACAATATTTTGTGATGAATTTATGATATTGTCATTATTTGGGGTAAATAAGGACCTTAATTCTTGTTTTGTTCTGTGTGTCTATCCTTCTGGGCAGTGAACAGGGTCTTATCTCATGTAATTGGCACACAGTCTGACTGGAAGGGGCAGCAGTAAGATTGATGGAATATTAAGGCATCACCCTGCTGTGGGGATTTTGGGAGAAAAGTAATACCTAGAATTATTTTTAAAAAGGGAACTTTGACTGTAGTATTTAGAGATAGATGAGTTTGACTTCCTTACTATCACAGTTACAAATTAATTTTCTATTTGAATTTTCAAGTGTTACAAGAAACAAGGATAAGCAAGTTGCCAGATTATTACTGAGTGCAAGTTGACCACTGTGACAGCTCTTAAACCACAGTGCCCTCTAGAGGTAGGAACATGTCTAGTCCCAAACCCACTGCTGGCAAACTGAGACTCTGCAACCCTATAGGACAAAATAGAACTGCCCTGTAGAGTTTCCAAGACATCAAGTCCTTATGGAAGCCGACTGCCTCATTTTTCTCCCTCTAGTGGGTTCAAACCACTGACTTTCTGTATTCACAACTGAGCGCTTACCCACTGAACCCCCAAGGCACGTGTAGAGCAATAAATGGAGACTCAAGGAAAGAAAGTGCCTAACATGAAACCTCTTGGGAGCTCTTTATATGGAAACATTAAGCCAGGATGGTGATGGTGACTTCGTCATCTTGCGGGGATCTGACAGAATGGAAGGTCATCCAAAACGTAGGGTGATTTGATATGGAACTTGACATTCTTAACAGATAATCTTCTTCAGTCCAAACTCCTCTACCTGGTTTTCAAAGTTTAACATAATGGTTCTTCATTTCAACTGCAGTTTAAAATGTCTGTTGTTGTTGTTAATATTATGTGCTATTGAGTCGCTTGCAACTCATAGAGACCCTATGTACAACAGCCCTGAAACCTGCTCTAGCCTGTGCCAAGTTTACTGTCTCCGACATACCTACCCTCGTTACCCCAGTCATTGTATCAATCTATCTCATCAATGGTCTCCCTCTCTTTTTCCATCCCTCTGTCCTTCCAGGCATGATGCCCCTCTCCAAGGACCAGTCGCTCCTTGCAACATTCCAAAAGTGTGTCAGACAAAGCCTTAAAATCCTTGCCTTCAAAGAGCAGCCTGGCAAAACTCTTCTCCAGCACCACAATTCAAAGGCAATCAATTCTCTATCATCCTTAGTCAGTGTCCATCTCTGACACACAGCAAGCAGTTGCGAAGACTAGGGCCTGAATCAGGTGCACCTTAGTCTCCAGACTGACAGACTGATGTTGTTGACAGCCGACTTTTCCAGTGCAATTCATCTCTTGATTTCTTGGCTGCTAGTGCCAAGAATGTTAATTGTGGAGCTAAGCAAACTAAAGCTGTTAACAATCTCAATCACTTCACAATCCATCCTGATGCTGCCAGTTGGACCAGTGGTGAGAATCTTTGTTTTCTTGATGTTGAGCTTCAATCCATATTGAAGGCTCCAGTTCTTGACCTTCTGTAGCAAGCGCTTCAGGTCCTCCTCAGTTTCAGCAAGCAGGGTTGTGTCATCTACATAACACAGGTGGTTGATGAGTCTTTCTCCAATCCTGATGCCACATTCCTCCTCGTACAGCCCAGCATCCTGGATGATCTGTTCTGCATATAGATTGTAAAAGCTTGAAGACAGAATACATCCCTGGTGGACATCCTTTGATTTTGAACCATGCAGTGTCTCCTTCCTCTGTTCTGACGACTGCCTCTTGGTTCAAGTAAATGTTTCGCATTAGCACAATCAAGTGTTCTGGGAGTCCCATTCTTCTCAGAGTCAGCCACAGCTTGTTGTGATCTACATGGTAAAAAGCCTTTGCATAGTCAATAAAACTTATACAGACATTCCTCTGGTGCTCTCTGCTTTCAGCCAAGATTCATCTAACATTAGCTATAATATTCCTAGTACCATAACCTCTTCTAAACCCAGCCGGCACGTCTTTCAGTTCTCTGTTGACGTGCTGCTCCAGTCGTTTTTGGATAATTTTCATCAGAATCTTGCTTGCATGTGGTATTAATGATATTGTTTGATAATTTCCACATACTGGTCATCTTACTTTGGAATGGGAACAATTATTGATCACTTCCAATCAGTTGACCAGTTGGCTGCCTTCCAGATTTCTTGACACAACTTAGAACATCTAGGGCAGCGTCTGTTTGTTGAAATAAGTCAGTCGGTATGTTACCAATTCCTGGGGACTTGTTTTTTTGCCAGTTCTTTCAGAGCAGCTTGAACTTCTTCCTTCATCACCACAAGCTCTTGCTCATATGTTGTTTCATGGAATCCTTCTGTGTCAGCCAATTCCTTCGGGTACAGTGACTCTGTGTACTCCTTCCATCTTCTTTTAGTGCTTCTTGGATCATTTAACATTCTGCCCAAAGCATCCTTAAGTATTTTACAGATGAGTAAACTGAGGAGAGAGCACTGGTTTTACCCACTAAGCAGTACAGGCAGGACCCACACAGTCTGCCCACTGAGCTTGTCTTCTCAGCCACTTCTCTGTGATTTGCTCTCCAGGAAGTAGTGAAAATAGGATGATGACTACTGGCTGGGTCGTTGTTGGACCAGAGACAAGAGGAGAAGTTGAATTGAAAGGATCTTATCAAAGAGCTGGGAGGAAATGTTTGCTAACCAATTTAATGAGAATCTCAGATGAATCAGGCAAAGGCAGTAAGAATTGTCTTGGGTAGAAACTAAGAGGCATTGTGATGGTTTGTGAAAAGATGAATGGTTCCGAGATAAGTGTCTTAGGAAACAGAGAGCCCATAATCAGGAGGAGAATGAAAACCAGGTTCCCAGAGGTCATTCATGTAAGGTGGGAGAGTCAGGATTCGAATCCTGGCAACTTTATTCCAGACCCCTTTCTCTTAAGCACTGGAATACAGCATCTCCTGTAGAAAACAAAGTCCCTAAAGAAGCAGGTCAGATGGGTCAAGGTCTGGTTGACCTTGATGGCAGGAGAGCCAGATATTGTGAGAAGAGTAGGTGCTGTGGCCAGTTTGTAGGCGTTGGAATCGCTTCAGTTGAACCCAGTCTTTGGAGAAGTAGGCAGATTTGCACACAGAGATAGATGTGTAAAGAAATGCATTTTTGGTCCTGCATAGTCTCTACTTACACTAGAGGCTGTCTTCTTTGACAGCTCTGTTCCTTTCACTTCCAGCCTTCTGGGTGAAAGAAATCCCTGTAGCACAGCCATCATTCACCTCTTCTGAGTTTTAAGTTTATTTGAGAGTAAACAATTTCAAATAGATTTGATTTCATTATACCAAATTGTAAACATTTGTGGGCAAAAATTGTCATATTTAAATGATTTAGTTCTTTACTATAGTGTTGAGGGCTGAGTTCATAATAGGCATTAAATGAAAATGTAAATTCTGTAATTCTTTTTTTTTTTTTTTAATTTTCTGTGTGTGTGTACCGGCAAATTGGATCTGACTGGTACAGGAGGAGATGGCCCCTCCTTCTCCAGAAGAGCGTCTGGTGGATTCCAACCAAAAGTCTGTAATACTAAGTTACAAATTTTCAGTGAAGAGGAAAAAACCTGAGTATTTTGTTTAGAGTGAATTTCCTCTACAAACACTAGGGGGTGCTGTTTAGCCATCAATGACTAGTTCAAGGAAAACCGTAAATATCTGTATTTTAAAACCTCAGAAAGAATGGGAGTAGAGTTTACATCAGGCAGATTCCAGTGAGACTGTTGTTGTTGTTGTTATGTGCCGTCGAGTTGCTTGCAACTCATAGCGACCCTATGTACAACAGCCCTAAACTCTACTCTGATCTGTGCCAGTCACAGTGTCTCCGGCACACCCATTCTGATTACCCCAGTCACTGAATCAATCCACCTCATAGAGGGCTTTCCCCTCCTGCACTGTCCATCCACCCTCCCAAGCCTGATGTCCTTCTCCAAGGACCGGTCCCTTCTTACATGTCCAAGTTATGTTAGACGAAGCCTCAGAATCCTTGCCTCCAAGGAGCAGCCGGGTTTAACCCTCGCCAGGATGAATCTGTTTGTTTTCCTAGCAGTCCATGGTACCCTCAATACTCTTGTCCAGCACCACAGCTCAAAGGCATCAATTCTCTTTCTATCCTCCCTAGTCATTGTCTAACTCTCTGATGCATAACAAGTAAGTGATAGCAAAGACCATGGCCTGTATCAGATGTACCTTAGTCTCCAGAGAGATGCCATTGCTCTTCAGAACCTTGGAAAGGTCCTTAACAGCAGACTTTTCCCATTGCAATATGTCTTTTAATTTCTTTGCTACTGGTACCAAGAGTGTTGACTGTGGAGCCAAGCAAACTAAAGCTGTGAACAGAGATGGTTAGCTGCTCTTTAAGATTCATAGGTTTATTGTTTTTGAGATTTATTTACCACCAACACACACACACATGCATGAAAAATAAGGACTTTGAGAAAAAAACCTCGAATTTAATTTATCCCTAGGTATCTTCGGAAGAAGTTGGAGCTCAGTTCCTTATTCGGATGGGATCCGTTGGCCGAAACAGGGCTGAAGCGTCTTTGGAGCGAGCCCAGAATCTCAACCCCATGGTGGATGTGAAGGTGGACACTGAGAATATCGAGAAGAAACCGGAGTCATTTTTTACTCAGTTTGATGCGGTAAGTTTGTAAGAGGGTGTCTTCTGTTATGGGAAGAGAGCAAATTAAAGCATTGGTTTCATGTGTACCTAGAACATCAGGATCTGGAAGGTTCTGCGCTGTTTCCTGATTCAGCTTTCTTTTCTTGGAGCTGGGTGGCAGGAGAGGTCCAGTCTGTTGGACCTACTCTGCCTGTTGGCTCTGCCGGCAGCTTGGTCAGGAAGATGTTCCAGCTTTCACTGTAGATACTGTGTCTTCTAGGGTTGGGTCACACGGTGCAAATGTTTTCCAAAACTTAACAAGTTGTTGATTTCCTTTTTCTAGCAGAGATTTTTCTTTTCTTTGTTGTCATCAGAAATATCAAACTACAGCTTTTGTTTTGTCTTGAGAAAGTGCACACCTGATCTTGATCTTTCTCTCAGCCACTTTGGCCATATTGCCGTGGAAAACTAGACGAAATCACTATCCTATCACTAGACCTCCAAGAGAGGTCTGTCCAGCTTCGTGTGGTGTCACTGCCAAGTCTATTTGGAGACACAGAGGAAAAGTTCAAATAAATTTCTGTACATGTGACCTTTCAAACATAGTTCTCTGTACCCTAAAAAAAGTTTACCACATGTTTGATAACCAGGAACTAGTCACAGAAAATCCACATGTATTTCAGATAAAAGGCTTATTGGATGAGAGGTTAGACTGTAGGGGGGAAGAGTTGGTGTTTCATATCCTGATGCTTCATCTCTGCATCTCTTCACATGTAGGATTAAAATGATAGATCTGTTTGATTACTCCAGGTTTGGGGACACTTTCCATTTGAACACATATGTCCCCTTTATTTCTTTTTTAAAAACTACCATCCATTTCTTTTTTTTATTATTAATTTTAACAATTAATAATTTTTAAAATTACGGAGACTCAGAGTTTCTATTCATTATTGCGCTTTTCTCCCTGCCCATCCCCTCTCCCCTAATTAACTCTTCTCCTTGATGAGTTAAAGAAAGACTCTTTCATTGCTATGCAATTCCTCCCCCCCTACCATCCATTTCTTAATAACCACATTTGGCTCCTCTGAGGTGTTCCTTGAATTTTGGAAATTAGAGTAGATTGGTAACCCTGAATAACGGGTAATGCAGGGAGCTCAGCGAGGATGGTGCGTCTTCCATGTCTGGAATTGGGCTCCACGGGGACAGCCTGCTCAGCTGTGTATGCGTGTCCGCGTCTTCTGAGTGACACCAAGTGAGCACACCTCTCAGAATGTCATTTACTATATTGTTCAGATGCAAAGAGGTGCTAGCAAAGGGAAAGACACCCTTTTGTAATCTGTCTGGCATTCTCTGTTCTGGAGAAAACACATGCAGTTTGCCTGTTTGTCTTCTGTTCTCATTCTCTCATCTTCTCCCTAAAAGATGGTATTTGTGCATAAAACCTTGACCATTGCTGGCACCCGAGTTTAAGGGCACCCCACCTCAGGCCCCAGAGTGGTACTGATTATTCCACTGGGTGATTCACTCGCTCATTGTTGGACCCTGAGTGGGAGGCTGCTGGGTCTTTAACCTCTTCTTTTGTCCAATCACAACAGGGCTTAATTTTCTTTATCTTAACATATCTATTGTCAGAAGGGATAGTGGGTGAAGTGTTCATATTTTAAAATGTTGAACTTAATGACTTTTGGGTCAGCTTGAAAACCTTATTTTTCTTCTAGTCCTTATTCACCGTTTAATAGGTTTACAATTTAGAAACTGCTTACCCCCAGTTATTACTGTCCATTTGCTTTTTCATGAAAACATTGAAATCTGGTTTTCATGTATTTAAGGACTTAGTAGAAAACAAATGCATGGCTTTTACACTCACACTAAACATAGTTCATTTTGTTTGCGGAAAGTATTTGTCTCTCCTAATTTACATGTTCTACTCACTGAAAACTGCAACTTTTCTTTTGTCTCTTCACCATTGGGCCCAAAGAACCTGTTGTACCAGTTTGAAACTGGCTTTCAGCATGCCCAGAGAGACTGTTAATTAAAATTTATTTAGAGATCAAGGAAGTGATTCCCAGTGTGCAGAACTCACAGCTCGCCAATTCCTTTCTTTGTTTCTGCAGATATGTCTGACTTGTTGCTCCCGGGATGTTATAGTGAAAGTTGACCAGATCTGTCACAAAAACAGCATCAAGTTCTTCACAGGCGATGTTTTTGGCTACCATGGATACACATTTGCCAATCTGGGAGAGCATGAGTTTGTAGAGTAAGTGTTGGGAGACTGGAGGATCTAACATTTCCCACATTCAGTTTTACTTTACTTGTAGGAAACGAGCCATCTGAAGGAAGTAATGCTTTACTGAATACAGCGATTGTGGTGCAGAAGGGTAGATGTTGCTGTCCCTGCTCTCTGGAATGTTGGTCTAATCTAAAGTAGACCTGGCACAGAGTCGGCCAGCTCCATAAGCTGTCAAGCGTCCACCACATGGGGATTTCATGAGCTTGGACTCCAAGTCTGGAGGACCCGCTTTCTGTCTATCCAGAGAAGACTTGCTTCCTAAACACTTTCTCCTCTTTGGCAGCTTCAGATTGTTGTGTTTTCAGGTTGAAAGAGTAAAACAGGTACAGAATAGCTAACTCCAGAGCCTCAGTCAGCCACAGACTGTTTTGGAAGATCTCCAAGGTCCAGAGATTGCCCCTGGGGGAAAAGAAAAAACAGCCTTATCCTCCTCTCTTTTTTAGCACTGTGGCTGCAGACCTTGGTAGTTCTCACATGACAGGACCTGCCGTGTTTTGGGCTTGTAGCTTCTAGATGAAAGATGGCCGGTGATACAGTGCTGTAAAACTGTATGAGTTGGTGTTTTTTGGCTGCAATTCCTGATTCTTCCCCCCACCTCCAGTCCCAGCTTGCTAATGAGCAGTAAAGAGCGGCCTGGTGTGATGGGAAGAGCCTTTTCCCCAGAGCCAAACTCTGCTCTTTTTTGTTGTTGTTGTTGTTCATCCTTTAAGACAAGTTACTTAATTTTTCTAAGCTTTGAGTTCTGTGCCCATAAAATTGAGCTTGGAAGGAGGACAGTGAAGTTCAAGATCCTTCACAACTGCAGCACTGTGGTTTTAAGAAAATTCAGTGCGTTGGCCACATTATAAACAGATAAAGAAGCCAGAGTGGAAGAAGCATGCCAGATTGGTTTAACTTTCATTCCCCACAGCGGAGGGGAGGAATTGAGTTCAGCTATTTATTCTGGAAGACAGGCCTGGAGATCCACTTCAAAAAAAAAAAAGACAGCCAGTGAAAACCACATGGAGTGCAGTTCTACTCTCATCCGTGGATGGGGGCGGGAGGGGAGCCTGCTCAAAAGCAGTGTTGGTTTGTGTGTTTTGTTGTTTTTTTAAAAATTCCTATTTCTAAGAGAAAGTTTACAGAGTAGTTGCTTTCATTTATTAAGAGCTTGCAGTGTGCTTCTCTCTGCTCCTCCCTTCCTCCCTCTTTCTCATTGTCATAAAGTCCAGACTCACTCGTAGCGAACCCTCCAGCGGAGGAGATGGCCCTTCTTTCTCCCGCAGAGCTTCCGCTGGACTCAAGAGAGGCCTCGCCTTTGTGTTAGCAGTTCAGCCCTCATGAACTAGGCCACCAGAGCTCCCTAGTCAGTGTGCTTGTTAGTAACTTACATGGTTTCTCTTACTTCTGGGATAGTCCTGTCACAGACTGTTGTTCCCCACGACAGGGTAACCTGCTGCCCAGGTTTCAGGGTGAAGAGCTAGGATTTGCCGCAGTCTTGGTTGCCCCTGCTCTGATCATCTTATTCTCGTGAGCTCATGATAGTCTTGTTCTTAAGATGTTCTCATGATGCAGTTCATAGGCTAGAATGCCATTCCTTCCCCTTGTCACCCTGCAGGGAGAAAGCTAAAATCATCAAAGTTAACCAAGGACTTGAAGATGGACCTGATACCAAGAGAGCAAAACTTGATTCATCTGAGACGACTATGGTCAAGAAGGTACGTGGGCCGACCAGCCCCATTGTTCCTGGGGTGTTTAAAAGTATATGTGTCAGGGAAGAGGTCAGAACCCTGGGGCCTTGTATGGGCAAGCAATTACAATTGTAAATGAGCAAAGCAGGCCAACTAGAAACCCATTTGAGAACCAGAGTCTAGACAGGCTGTGCCAGTGCTCTGCCCCATCTCAGGCGGCATCTGCTGCTTAGTCTCTGACGACTCTTGCCATGAGGAATTGGGCACTGTTGATGCCTGCTGTGGTTTTTTTCCTAGAGGAGACTGGCCAGTTTTTGCAGCATCTCTTCCAAATTTTGTTAATCTAGCAACCTGCTAAAAGTGATTTGAATATTGCTCCATACAGCGCCATGAAGGCCAAACAAAATATGTCAGTAGAGCTGCTTTGATCTTTCGACCAGCAGTTTTGACCTTTGGCACGTGGGGTAGTGTCTGAAAGAGAAGGCAGCTCGATGTCACGGTGGTCAGAGAACTCAGTTGCTGAGTAAAAGAGGTGCAGTTGGCACCCGCAGCCCCCACAGGAGGAAGTGGTGGCAGTCTGCGTCTGTAAAGATTTACAGCCTTGACTCTGGGTCCATTCTACTTGTAGGACCATGAGTTGTAATCAGCTTGGGCCAGTAGAGGGTTTTTTCCCCCATTTGTCTTTGTCAGAAAGACTGAAACGGAGAAATCATTGCATTTGTACAAAGTTTAAAAAAGTCTTAGGTTGATTGTATGTTCCTGCGTGTTTAACTGCGAGGTTAGGAATTCTTATCCCCCAGCTCCGCCACAGGAGAATGATGTGATGGTCCGCTTCTGTAGTGATTTACAGCCTTGGAACCCAGTGACTCTCTAATGCTATATCTGTAAGGTTACCGTGAATTGGGATCTCACTGGGTTTGGTTTAGTTTTTGGGCTTAATTGGCAGGGACCACTTTCAAGTAGTCTCACTGGCTTTTGCATCTTTAGAAACTTACTTTCTTTTGTACTCCAGAATTTTTAAAAAAGAAAATCTAATCCATATTGACAAATTTTATCGATGTATGTGTGTATATAATTTTTTAATAAATGTAGCCTGTATCAGAGGCTTAGACTCTTAACTTGGATCCGGTGCAGAGCAAAAACTCAGACTAGGAAGGGAAGGGAGCCAGAAGTGGTTTCTGTAGCTAGTGCTGGAATCTAAGAGGCATAACATGGGGAAAACAGTGAAGGGGCCAAGAGTTGGTGGTGTTGAACCGAGAGGGACACCGGGTCCAAGCCTATATTTACTCTCAGCTTCGTAGATTGAAATGTTGAGGAAGAAAAGCAGCTGGTGACTAGTCAGAGTTAGAGTTGCTCTAAAGGGGGCTTTCGAAAGAGTGCAGAAACCACCAAAGAGAAGGCAGAAGACCACAGGAGCGGGCTGCTCAAGTCTCCAGCAGAGCTCTGCTTTCTCTTTTTTTCTGTCTGTACTGGAAGGGTTTGATGGTGGAAGTGTGATGTAGAGGAATGATTAAACTCGAATTTTAGTGTCTCTTCACAGGAATGTAATTATCCCTGGTGAACACTGCCATTTTGGCCAAACTTGGGTCATTTTCTTTCTTTCTCCTTTATTTTTCTGAGGCCCAGCCGAGCTGGAGCTGAATAGCTCCTGCAGTTTGAGGGGCAAGGGGGATGGGGGAGAGCAATGGTTAACAAACGGAGGAGTACAAAAGCAGCTTTGTGGGTGCTGTCAATTTATAAATCACACCCTCTTAGGAGTGTGACACTTGGCCTTGGTGTGAAAGGTTTGATGGCTTAAGGGCAGTCTGGGATTGAGGCGGGTCTTTCACATTCAAATGGAGAGAGCCCCAGCTTTGTTAGCTGCTCACAGCTGGAAGCCTCCCTGAATCCCTTCTGATGGTGCCCTCTGGAGTGGATCTGGAAAGCCCTTTTGGGAGCCACTTTAGCTAGCTATGAGGAGAATGTGGGCAGCCCCTGCAGGCGCTTGGCGGCCTTGGCCTCTTCCTCGGGCTCTTTGGTTACAGAGTTCTTTGTGCAGGCTCTTCGCACTCGTGGAATTGGAAGGTATCAAAATATTCCCCAGCTGGCATTGTTAGTCAGCTGTTCCCTGGACCAAGGCGGACTTGGATTCCAACCCCTAGCCTTAGAGGTTGTGCGGCATTCGGCACATTCCTGATGACAATCCCTGGGATTCCAAACCTTGCCTTTGTGCGGGAGGAACGGTCCCAGCTGGCTTTCCGCCAAGGCGCTGCCACCTTGTGGTGGGTGATGTGCCTCCCATTTCAGCAGAGCCTGACCCACAATTTCAAAATTTCTCTTCCAGGTAACACAAAAACTACTCCACTGACAGTCTGCTTTTGGGTCTTAGTTGGACAGAACAACTAGTTGGGTGCTGCTCAGAGTGCGGAATGGGGGTGGGGAAGCAGTCACTTCCTGTTTCCTGTGAGAAGGCTGGTTAGGGTTCCCTTCCCTTCCCCTTTTCCTGAGATTCGACCAGACGGAAAGTCACCCATGCTGCAAGGTACATGTTGTACTCCTAAATTAGAAACTTTAGAAAACAAGGAGGAAAAACAGACTTTGTGGTTTTCACACCACCTCGGAAGACACCGGGCCTTTCTAGCTCGGTTGCCTTCATGCTACATAAAGGTAATGGGAGAATGTTTAATCTGGAGAGAGGAGCTCGGCGAGGTTTGCTTGCTCAGGTTCCCAGGAGAAGTGGGAATCCAGCTTTTATCAGAATCAGAACTGGGGCACAGCCTGTGCCAGGGGACTCATGTGCAGCAGGTAGAAGAGCACTTGTCACATGGGGAGGAAGAGTATATCCTGGAAGGCTTCCTGGAGAAAGAGGTGTTTGCCTTGGCACACGAGAACAAGTTTGCGTTCACCAGAGCCTGGACTGGTGTCTGGGTGGAGGAGGCAGAAAAAGCAGAGTTACTCTGTAGGGCAGAGTAATGCGGCTTCCCTCACTTAGGGCTGCATGCTCTCTCCCCATCATAAATTTCACAATACCAACGAGTGCAGGCAGCAGGAGGGCAGCCAGGCAGTGGTGACAAGCACAGGCTTCGATCCACAGCCTACAGGTGGACTCCCCATGAAACCTCTAAGATCATTTAATCATTTCTGAGAATGATGGGATAGTTATATGAAAGTGGGGGTGGGACGGACTAAAACACCAGACTCACTGCTGTTGAGTTTTGACTCCTGAAGATCCTGTGGGACAGAGTCAGACTGCCCCATGGGGTTTCCAGGGCTGTTCCCATAACAGGAACTGACAGCCGTATTGTTCTTGGGCACAGCCATTAGTGAATTCAAACCTCTGACCTTTTAGTTAGTAGTCAAGCACTTATCCACTGCACCATTGAGGCTTTTTCATTCTTGGAAATCTTTGGGATAAAAGGTTACAGCTGGCATTTGTTTATTGTAAGCTGGCCTTGTTGTTAGAGCAACATGAGTAGTGATGTTTCCCAAGAATGCTGCTTTAAAAACAGAACGTGGTGGGGTTTGTAAGATGGTTCACAGTGCGAGAAATACAATTTTTTCCCCTTTGCACTAGTGGGTGACTAATTTGGGGAATTCACTGTTTATACTATTTCCATGAATTGGTTATGAAATTCCCCTGTTGGGTAGGGATTCTTATTTTGCGTCCTCTTTTCTGAGCAATTTTTTGAGTACTCTTTTTATCCTCCTTTCACCCCATTTGCAAAGTGACACCCTAGACATCAGGCGACGTAACTCCCTCTCTCGTATGACACCTTCAGAGTCAGCTTGGCGCTGCTGAGCACACTGGAGGTTACCTGTAATGTCTCTCCTGCTAGATGTTTGAATGGGGCTTTTTTGTTTTGTTTTTTTTTTTAAATGTATTTACTGTCTAATTGTGCTGAAAATATACACACCAAAACATTGGCCACTTGAGCAGTTCTGCATCTGTAATTCTGTGACGTTGGTGCACTACTTCACGTTGCACTGCTATCCCGGGGTTAGTCTACCACCAATTAAATCAATTCACTCCCCGCCTCCAGCAGAAACTCCCTTTTCCTCTTCCTCCAGCCTCTTAACAACTACTGATAATCACCGCTTTACATACGTTTACTTACTTTGTATAGGCGAGTTCTTATTTGTGCATTAGAGACTGACATTTCACTCAGCATGTTTTTTAAGGTTCATTTGTATTTGTGGAGTATACCAGAACTTTATTTGGTTTTATGGCTGCATTGTATCTCTTACTAGTTTTTTAAAAAATTATTAATTTCAATGAAAATTTACAGAAACTTTGGATTTCCAATCATTTATTGTTGCATTTTTATCCCTGCCCACCTCCCCTCTCCCCAGTTCGCTCTTCTCTTTGAAAAGAAAAATTCTTTCATTGTTATACAGTCCCTCCCCCCAAGTCCACGCTACTAAGCTGCCTTTGGTTTCGACTCCTGTCATGACAATAATACCTAATCACATATCCCTTTTAAATAGTTCTGTCCCTCATCTGTTTCAATGTAGTATACATAATTTATCCCATCTTTCTCAGTCTCTCTCCAACCCTGATGTCAGTCCTGTTTTACAACAGTGGCACTATGCAGTATTTGTCCTTTTGTGACTGAGATATTTTACTCAGCATAATGTCCTCCAGGGTCACCCATTTTGTATAATATTTCATGAGTTCCTTGTTTTTCAATGCAGTGTAGTATTCCATTGTGTGAATATACCACAGCTTCTTTATCCATTCGTTTGTTGATGGGCACTTAGGTTGTTTCCAACTCTTTGCTATTGTGAACAAAGCCATGATAAACATGGGCGAGTATATATCTACTTGGTTGGCAGTTTAAGTTTCTTTAAAGTATATTCCCAGTAGTGTAATTGCTGGGTCAAATGGTATTTCTATTTGCAACTTTTTGAGAAAGCGCCATACTGCTTTCCATAGTAGTTGCACCATTTTACACTCCTACCAACAGCGAAAGGGTTCCATTTTCTCCACCACCTCACCAGCATTTGTTTGCTGTTCTGTTAAATATTTCTATTCTGGCTGGGGTGAGATG